TCCTGTTTGCGTCTTTTGCGGGGCTCCATCTTGCTTTGGGGTTTTTTCCTACTCGTGTCTGTACACCAATTTTTGACCGAAGTCTGTAAGTTCTCAATCCTTACACCTGGAGAATTCTCCCGACACCGAAGCCAAGGGAGTGGCGGGGGGGGGGGGGGGGCTGGTGCCGCGTGTTCAGGGCCAAAAGGGCTGTAGGGGTTTCTGGTAGGGGGCTTGAAAGCTGAAAAAACTGCCTACCGCGCTTAAGCTCGCCGTTCATCTTGCTGCAGCACGTTTGGCACCATTTCTGTCAGAAAGATGCTTGTGGAATTGCAAAGATGCACGGCTTGCACTTTGTGGACCTGGGGGTCTGAAGTGTGGAGTCTGGAGGCCTGGGAGGCGCGGGAGGCTTGGGCTTCACAACCAGCCTCGGATCCAGCACAACTCTCTGCTGGAGATTGCATCGAAGAACGGAATTCAGGCGGCGCCGGCTTGACTAGACGACCTGACCCTTTCAAAGTGCAACACAAAGGACTTCCCGGGCTCGGTTTCGGATGTTTGGTTCAGACACATGACATGACAAGCCCCTCTGGAGGTGCCTAAACCCTAAACCCCTCAACCCATAAATCATAAATCCTTAAACTCCAAAACCCTAGAAACAGTATCCTTCGCACCCCAAAGCATGAGGTTCATGCTCCTGTCCCTGACCCCCTGGTTTTCTCGAGTAAGACGCAAGCGTCGCCAAAAAAGTGCGGGCAAGCGCCAGCCATTAGCCTGTTCCCAGTATCTAGACTTGTGCAACCCCTAAACCCCTAAGCTCCAAACCCAAAATCCTGAAAACCCCTCAACCAACCAAAAACTCCAAACCCTAAGCTTTAAAGGCATCAGGTTCGCATATGTTTGTTCATTTCCTTTCTTTCGGGGGGGGGGGGGGGGTGGTGGTACCAGTGAAGGGGGCAGAGTTTACACTTTCAGGGCGGGCGCCCACGGGGGTGCACATTTCGCCCGACGCCTGAAGACACGTTTTGACGACACGTTCTGTCCAGGCCCGGACCCCCTGACGCCACGCACTGACGCCACGTCCCGTGACGCCACGTCTGTGTGTGACGCCTGACGCCACGTTTTGACGCCACCTGGTTTGACAACACGCGGGGTCCTAACGCCACGTAAGCTTCTGACGCCACGTACTGACGCCACATACGGTGAAGACTCTCCCACGGCCAGCGTTTTTTTGTCGTCGGAATCTGACCCTGGGGGTCTATATATCATGCCACGTGAGCCAGTGACGCCACGTTTTGATGCCCGATTCGGCGCCGCCAGGTGGCTCAGTGACGCCGCGTGGGTCTGTGACGCCACGTTCTGACGCCAGGTTCTGCGACCCAACGTGTCTGCGTGACGCCACATGAGGCAGTGACGCCACGTTTTGACGCCACGTCCGGTGACGCCAGGTGGCTCAGCGACGCCACATAAAGCCAGTAACGCCACGTTGCGACGCCACGTTCTGCATAAACACATCCTAGCGCAATTGTAAAGAATATGGAATATTAAAGCTGAGGCCTATTTAGGAAATGTGTTCAGGTTTGACGAGCTTGTCTGAAGGAAATGTGTCTTCGCGACGCCACGTGTCTTCGCTGGATCTGTCTTCGGGAAGTGTCTTCACTTGCCCATGTGTCTTCGCGACGCCACGTGTCTTCGCGGGAGCTGTCTGCGGAAGGTGTCTTCGCTAGCCCACGTGTCTTCGCGACGCTGGGGGTCTTCACCGGACCTGGCTGCGGGAAGTATCTTCGCGACGCTGTTTGTCTTCACTGCATAGGAGGCGCTGTCCCCACCTGTTTGAGTGGTCTTAGCCTTGGCTCTACGTATTCTGGGAAAAGTGTCTTCTGACGCCCACGTGTCTTCAGACGGGATTCCCGACGCCACGTGTCTTCGCGCAGGAATGTGTCTTCAGACGCCCACGTGTCTTCGCTGTCTGCTCTGGGGGGCCGGGGTCCTCAACCCCATGTGTCTTCAAAATGTGTCTTCGGTCTTCGGGCGAAATGTGCACCCCCCCGGGCGCCCGCAATGTTTTTGGGCTTTAGGGCTTAGGGTTGAAAACCCGAAGCCCTAAACCCCTACGATTGAGAATTCTAGGACCCAGAGTATATAGGCCCTTGTTCCCTTTTTGTCTAGGGTTTCGGCACCCTTAGAAGCCCCGTTAAACCAACAAGGGCACCGTTTCTTCTTCCTAATCGGGCTACTGCTGGGTCACCCTAAGCCCTATAGACCCTAAACTCTAATTGTGGTCCTCCACTATCTCAAGCCCCGCTGCAGCTAAGCCGAAGCACAGTTGCAAGTTCCAGCACACGCCCTCGAGTAACATCCACAGCACACGCAATAACTTTTGGGATGGCCTGCGGTGAGCGTGAAGGTAGAGACGCACGCAGTTTAGCCCCGGTCAGTCTGACTGGGCACAGAGCACCAAACCATCTATACATCGGTATGGTGTTCGAGCATGAAAAATCCCGGGTGGGAGTGGTGGGCCGCGAGAAAAAGTTGTCACTCGAGCAGTTGACAGGTCACTTCTTGACCAAACAAACAAGTCAGCTTCAGTAACGTTCACGGATGCTTCACCAAGGAACTCACAGAGCATGTGGAACTTGCCAGAGGATGGATCTTGGAACTTTCGACTTTCGTTGGAGCAGTACTTACGAGGGACATCCTCCGCAGAAAGACCGCTCGTCCACAATAAGGGGCGCATTGTGGTCCTCCACTATCTCAAGCCCCGCTGCAGCTAAGCCGAAGCACAGTTGCAAGTTCCAGCACACGCCCTCGAGTAACATCCACAGCACACGCAATAACTTTTGGGATGGCCTGCGGTGAGCGTGAAGGTAGAGACGCACGCAGTTTAGCCCCGGTCAGTCTGACTGGGCACAGAGCACCAAACCATCTATACATCGGTATGGTGTTCGAGCATGAAAAATCCCACCTCTCCAGCACTGGCCAAGCTACAAGCGAGGCCGCCACCTTTGCCAACGAGAGTGACAAGAACGACCCGACACAGGATATTCCATAGCATGCACAACCACGGCTGCTCGGCCAAGGCGACCATGAATTTGAAGATTGCTTCTTGCCACCATCGCAAGAAGCAAAGGCACCCCGACGTGCCACATAGGGGGCACAGCCTATGCTCGGCCCACCAACCATACGACAGCCTCAGACTCTGCCTCCGAGCCCGGACTTCAGTTCCGAAGAGCACTGTGTCGAGCAGACCCGGTCGCATGGAAGAGAGCGACGCTCACCACCTGTACATGTTGAATTCCACCAAAACTTCTTTGGGCTGATAGCCACGACAAACCAGACTGGAAGGATGGGACTGGCTATCCGGGCGGCACGACTGAACGATTTCCAATCCACAAGATGCCCGACCCAGCCTGCCGAACGGCCAGCAAGTTGTGCTAGCAGCCAACTGCCATAGGCCACGCCTGTGCCCGTAGCCAAAAAGGCAAATTAAGCCTGCGTCGCCGGCCACAACAACAGGTTCAGCGGAGGGAGCAATGGAGGCAATCAAGTAGATGACAACTGTACGTTTTGCCAGGTTGCCGCCGTGGAACCATGGGACCCACCCATCGCTGGAGCTACCGCGAGAAAAAGTTGTCACTCGAGCAGTTGACAGGTCACTTCTTGACCAAACAAACAAGTCAGCTTCAGTAACGTTCACGGATGCTTCACCAAGGAACTCACAGAGCATGTGGAACTTGCCAGAGGATGGATCTTGGAACTTTCGACTTTCGTTGGAGCAGTACTTACGAGGGACATCCTCCGCAGAAAGACCGCTCGTCCACAATAAGGGGCGCAACCCTAAACCCTGAACCGTCCTTCTTGAGCCTGGAGGAGTTTCGTGGTGGGGTGTCGGGGAGTGGGTCGGACTGCGGGTGTCGGGCTCTGTGTAAATGATAACCCTGGCGATTCAGAAAAACCGTCTCTAATCCGCTCCAATTTGTTTGGATAGTCAATCGTGGCCACATGCAATTTGCATTTAGTTTCGAACTTCGTCTTGTCGGGTGTAGGCTTTAGGCTTGAGGTTTTAAGGCTTTAAGGTTTCATTGTTTCACTCCCGACGTAGCCCCTTCGTCGGGAAAGGACATTGCCACCGAGACTTAGGGTGTTGGGGGGGCCCAAAGTCCTCGAACCCAAGCCGCCCAAGCCCCGAAGAATCGCCCCAAGGCCCGCGACTCGATATCCCAAAGCTGCCATGGGAGAGGGGGATTCGGGGGAACTCAGCTGGCATGGTGGAGATGGCCTTTCGTGTGGTCTTCTACGACGGTCATCATTGCACTTGGCAAACAACCCAGATATTTTTCTAAGTGCTTTCTGCTTTCTGCCTCTGCCTCGCGTGGCAAGATACGGTTCCCCCAGCCAAGGCATTCGACAAGGCCAGTTGGCACAAAATGTGCCCGTCACGCACCGCAGACAAACATAGAAACATTCCACAGGGCAGCACTTCTGGTTTTCCTCACGTTGAGTAAACTCCGCCTTCCCAAGGGGATGACACTATATGGCACTCGCCCTGGCCACGACTTCTAGACCATCAAAGGCCTGATGCATCGTGAAGAACAGTGTTTTCAACGTAGGGAATAGAACCCACACTCCCCCTTAATGCCTTGAACCTGACACCAACGCGCGCTGACGCACCACTTTCTGCGGCAAACGGCCGCGACGGTGCCAGCTGTGAGGGTCTAAGCCCGAAGAAATCCTTCTTCCCCAAATTTTACTGGGATGCAAGAAAAAATTGGACCAAGGGCCTGCCGACTCTGAACTTTTCAGGACCCTTCTCCAGACCTAAAGTGATATGTCGTGGATACAGGATTATATCGTACCATACAGTATTAAATTGAATTATACAGTGTTATATAGTGTTATATGGAATTATATAGTATTATATAATATAGTATTATATCGTATTATATAGAGTTATATCGTATTTTAAAGTATTGCATACACTCAGCTCACTCTCTTAGTAGGGCTGAGGGTTTTTTACACCATCAAAAAAAGGCAGCTTGTTTGAGCTTGGGTTGTGATGGGGCTCTCGGCTCTCGGGCAATCCTGCAACAAGGGCTCGCGGCTGCCAGCAGCCCATAGCCGAAGGGGAGGTCCAGGGTCGAGGCAGCCAGCAGCTCCCTTGTCAGGGGGCCGCGCACATAGGCCGTGAAAGCCTCTTCGCTGCCATACCAGGCGTTGATGGCGGCGAGGAGGAAGGCTTTATCTTCCTCACGTTGGCACCCTGCGTTTTTGAGCTCGAAGGTCGCTAGCGCCTCGGTGATCTGGCGCTCCTCCCTCATGAACTTTCGGTTGGTGTGCACGATAAGCGCCAGGGGTGACATCGCAATTGCAACCATTCCTGATTGATAAGCTTGGCTGACGCCTTCCCGTGCAGCCACAAATATGCCAGTCATGAATGCGCAGGCCAAGATCAGAAAGAAGACTTGCCTCTCAACGAACAGCGGCTTGACTTGTATCCGCCCAGACGGATTCGCCTTGCGAAAAGCGGCGAGCTCGAAGACACACCACAGGCCTCTTGTTGTCGTTGTTGTTGCTGTTGTTGCTGTTGTTGTTGTTGTTGTTGTTGTTGTTGTTGTTGTTGTTGTTGTTGTTGTTGTTGTTGTGGTTGTTGTTGTTGTTGCTGTTGCTGTTGTTGTTGTTGTTGCTGCTGTTGCTGCTGTTGCTGTTGTTGCTGTTGCTGTTGTTGTTGTTGTTGTTGTTGTTGTTGTTGTTGTTGTTGTTGTTGTTGTTGTTGTTGTTGTTGTTGTTGTTGTTGTTGTTGTTGTTGTTGTTGTGTTGTTGTTGTTGTTGTTGTTGCTGTTGTTGTTGTTGTTGTTGTTGTTGTTGTTGTTGTTGCTGTTGTTGTTGCTGCTGTTGCTGTTGCTGTTGCTGTTGCTGCTGTTGCTGTTGCTGCTGTTGCTGCTGTTGCAGTTGCTGTTGCTGCTGCTGTTGCTGCTGCTGTTGCTGCTGCTGTTGTTGTTGCTGCTGTTGTTCGCAGATGTTGCCGTTGTTGCAGTTGTTGTTGCTGCTGCTACTTCTTCTGCTTCTTCTTCTTCTTCTGCTGCTGCTGTTGCTGTTGCCAATCCTGAGCAAGCTCGCACCTCGTAGCTCTCTATCCATGTAGGACTAACAGTCTCGCACCCCTCGAAGCCCGCCAGGACAAATCCTGCACAAGCGTCCGAAACGAAATGAAGTGCAATTGAATGGAATGGAATGGAATGAAAGGGAATGAAATGAAAATGGAGTGGAATGAAATGAAATGGAATGAAATGAAATGAAAGTGACAATGGCAAGGTAAATGAAAATGAACATTGAACTGAATTGAATGAATTGAAATGAGAGAAATTGAATGAATTGAAATGAGAGAAATGAAACGAAATGAAATGAAACGCAATGAAATGAAATGAAATGAAAATGAAATGGAATGGAATGAAAATGAACATGAAATTGAAAATGAACATGGAAATGAAAATGAGCATGAATATGAAATGAAATGAAACGAAACAAAATGAAAATGAAAATGAGAATGAAAATGAAAATGAATGTTGCCTGATGATGATGAGGAGGAGCTTCGTTCGAGGTAAAACAAATTTACAGGTAAACCAACTTTACAGAATGCTAAGTCATACCGACATACCTGAAAGTTGTCGACTCGTGATAGCCTTGAGGTGACAGAAGCCATATAATCTAAGCTGAAGCTAGCTCTCTGCATGCAACCGTGGGGCGGCTCAGGTAAGTTGGTGACCACAATACACGCAGCTCCTTGGAGATCTGAAGAAAGCCTCCGAGTCCCAACACGCCTCGCTCTTTGAGCACAGGATCTGTCTGATGAACGCTTGCCACGTCCAGGAAGCATGTCGGAGAACAGCTCGCGCAGCAGCAATATGGAAATAAGAAAAGGGAGATCAGCACTGCCAGGGTACCGGAGAGCCATGCCCACGGGGCATAGGGACAATCCGCCTTGAAGCCTAAAGTATCCGCGTGGAAGGTGAAGGGCAAGGGCACCAAGCCAAAAGCACCCTGGACAAAGGCCACCGTGACGACGCAAAGCCAGCTTACGGTTACTGTTGGCCAGCCGTATTGGAATAACAACGAGAGGAACTTCAGCCGGCCTGGAGCATTCCAGGTATGTGAGAAAAACACGTCGAAGGCCTCAGCAGGATGAGACCTCTCCCATAGCCTCCTTTGAAAGCGCAGGTCCAAGTAGGAAGGCGAGGTCAGCTTCCGCAGGCCAAAGTCGCGGAGGATTGAAAACACGGGAATTCCGTGGGCCGCGGCCCGGTCCACTTTGAAGCTGATTGTGGCCTGGAGGGAGACGGGCAGCTCGGAGTTGGTCATCGTAGGCACTTCGGTCCCCTCCGTCCCCTCGGAGTTGGTTAAGGAGCCACTTGGGACCACCTGGGCCGGAGCCTCTTCCAGTGCTTCCACGACTTGGACAGCATCCACGGAGACGTCGCACTGGGGCTCTTCCTCACCGTTCTCGCTGCAGCAGTAGCGACTCACATTCACCCCCATGGCTCAGTCTTGAACTATGTTCAAGGAATCCAAAAACACTCTAAAAATTCGATGCTCGCAGCGGCCGTGCAGTGCAAACGTTCTCGAACGAAGACACAAAGACACGATACGAGGACACAAGGGTACGACGCAAAGACGCAACACTACACAGCAAAGTCCAAACCCTTTCTGTGGCCCTTGTGTGGGACCCTTTTTTTTGGGCCCCCTCTGATGGTTTTCTTCTTGAGGTTTTGGGCCGAAGCACCGAAACCTTGCAGTCCTCCAAAATTAGGGGCCCTTAAGGTACTTAAGACGCCCATATGCTCCACACCACAAGAACCCTTGCACGAAGGGCTGCACCTTCATGGCCACTTTTGGATCCCCAGAATTTTTAGTTCCCTCTCCACGCATCTTCTTGGGAACAATTTTCCAGGGTCGGGACCTGCAGGCTGAGGGGGAGCATCGAACAAAAAAAGAGACCAACCCTTGAAAGCCCCATCTCCCAACTCACCGACTACGCAACTGGTCGGCCGGGATAGACGACCTGCAGCTACCTGCAGGGTTTCAATCTGCAACCTCAGGGGTCGCGCCTTCTCCAGCAGATTCGGTTCAGTGGACGTCTTGCTATTGGGCGCGTGAGGGCAACATCTACACATACGGACATTTAGACACACGGAGATGCCAAAAACACAAGACCAGGCCTTTCGGGGCACTGCTGGGACCTCCCAGAGAAATGCCCTTGACGCTTGACATCCGCCAGCCACTCTAACACAACACGCGTATGTGTATCGTGTGTGTGTGTGTGTCAATTCCGACGTGTGCTTCTGCTTGCACTCGTCACTGACATCTGAATATGTGTGGTTTGGACACTGTTCAGGGCGGTCAACACTCAAATTTGTTCCTCGACGCCGACGCTCCGCCGAGCCTTAAAGGGGCAAGGCAAAGCCTTCGTTCAACCCTCGGCGCCCTCAGCGCCCTCGGCACCGGCGCTACAGCCTCACGGCCAGAGATGGCGGCTCTTGGACACGCGACGATCGCGAGCCCTTGCTGTAGAAGCTCAGTTGAACCTTCGAGGGCAGGGCCACCCAGCCACTCCTGACCGGAGCATCAGAGATGGAAGACGGAGCCAGCACGGGAGGTGCTTCAAGCGCCTTCCTGGGTGCATCCGGACCAAGCGTCAAGGACCAAACTGCAGAAGCGGCGTCTCTGTGTGAGCTACTTGTGTCTCAGCTGTGTCTTTCAGCTGCGTCTCTCAGCTGTGTCTCTGTCCCTCTTCTGTGCGGCCCCCACAGAGCCGCCTTGAGAGTTCCTCCGGCTAAGTGGCTAAGCGCCCGAGGAGCTGTGCTCCTGCGCTCCTGGGCGCCCTCTCCTGGCCCGGCAGCTGGGCAATGCACACAAGAAGTTGGCATCTCCAGGCTGCTAGCAAGTCATAGATGTCACAGTAGTGCAGTGTGGAGGGAACACCTGCACATGGGGCACCGCACCGGCCTCTGCGTGGTATGGGCGCCTGCAAGCTCTGGAAGCTTCGCCTCGGCGGTGCCCTCGCCGCACCGCCGCACCATGCCGTGGCCTCTCGATGGCTGGCGATGCAAGCCGGCCATCGTCCTGATGGAACACAGCGTCAAACCGGGCAGCTTTCCGGGCAGCTTTCTTTAGCTCCGTTGGGACAGTGGGCACAGCAACAAGAACAACTAAGGCCGCTGGTGGTGCGGGCTCCCTGGATTGGATCCTCAATCGCCTCTTGGCATCCTCGCCCAAAGCAACCCCAATGCACACATCGCCACAGAGCTTTTGCACTTCAGTCTGGCGTGGTGCCGCCCTTCGCCATCTATGTCCCCTGTAGACCATCAGGAGCTGTCGTCTGGTGAGGTGATCTTGGCGGTAGCATATGACCTGCTTACCACGCGTGTGCCCGAAGAAATCGTGGAAACATGTGGAAACGCTCTGCTTCCATTCAGACAGCCAACCAATCGAGGCTTCGTGAGTTGGCACCTACATTCTTTTACATTCAGGCCTCTGAAGTACATTCTAAACACAGGTACTTGCGCAGTCAGGTGGCGCAATGCTGGCGCAGAGCAGGGCATCCGGAAAGCACAGCGGCTTTCTTACGACGCTGTGACCTCATCGCGCTTGTCTATGCACCGCCTTTGTGAAGCGGGACCATTGTGAGTTAGCCCGGGTGCTGAGCAAGCAGCCTGCCTGTGGCAGGTTCCTCAGTGGGCTTCAGGAGGGGAGCTGCTGTCTGCGAGCTTGACAAGAAGTGGGCCGAACCTGGCAGGAGGGTAGATGGTGCCTTGACATGGCAACCGGCCAAAGCGGCCGGCGTAGATCCTCAGCGACGGCACTTCATCGGAAAGTCACCACAAGCCCAGTGGTGATAGGATGTGATAGGCACAGCGAGTACTGCGGCGCACGCACAGCTTTCGGAGCCTCACGTTCAGGCAGCGGCAGCGGCAGCGGACGCAATGTGGAGAACATGCACGAAGGCAGTGAGTTTCTCGGCCGGAGCTTCAACTGAGCCGTCTCAAGCCGTCAACTTGCCGCTTGCCAACTCTCGCCAACGTCTCTGCTTGGGTTTGACGCGCCACGTGCTCGACGGCGCACGGGGCATGACAGAGAGTCTCATCCCGGGTAACGCGAGAAGCTTGAAGGGAAGCTGCTCGCTCTCGGGGCAGGTGCGGCAGGTGTACTTGCTTGAACTATAGGGCCTGTCTCCTGAAAGAGCTTATGTTCAGCTGTGACTTCCTCCAAGCCCTCACACACCGTCTATAACATTTGTGGCGCAAGCAGAGAGAGCACGTCAGACGGCAGGGCCAGGGCGGCCAGGGTCCCTCCAAGGACGCTCTCAAACCTGCACATCCCGCCCATGCCCGCCCGCCAAACACAGTGACACCGGCAACTGAGAGCAGAGCAGGCTGACGGCAAAAGGTGCTCCATCTGGCATTCCGGGATTGGGGCCCGCACGGCACACGTGCTCTGGCGCACTTTCGCAGGCGCTTGCGCGAGCTGGAGCGAGGCACGCGGGACCTCATCTGGCGATGCCGCGCATGCAAGTTGCAACAGTTGCAAAGCAAGTTGCAAAACATGCCCCGTGTCACACGTGGAGCCTTCGCCCGCTCAAGTGGTGTTGGTTTTGCTCTGGACTCGTCGCTCAAATATAGGTACAGTCTACAGTTATTAGAATTCTAGGGCAATGTCCACAGAGGCGCGCCGGTCGAGGCTGTCGGTGCACGCGGGGGCGAGCTGCCGCGCTTCCGCCGGCGTCGGCAAAAAAAACGCGCGCGGGCGGCGGCCACGCGCGGCTGCGCGGGATGAGCCCGCAGTCTCCGCAGTCTCCACATTCTCCACAAAGCTGGGAGATGCTGGGAGAGCAGTTTACCAAAGAAGCCGAAGTGCCCACCGGGCTCAACCGAGCTGACCGAGCTGACCGAGCTGACCGAGGGCCTGAAGGGCCCATGGCCACGCCCCCACGAGATGGCAGACTTATGCAGACTTGGGGTATAGAAGCGCCGCTGTTCACCTACGACGGCAGGGCCTTAGCCACGGCATCTGCCGGCGCCAGGTGCGCACCCTGCCTGCGATGCTGGCGCCAAGGCACGCCGAGGATGGCACAAACCCTGCGACAAGATGAGGCCCCCCATTCCTTGCAAGCACCTGCGCGGTGCGATGCTGGTGCGGTGAGGCGATGGGGCTCTTGAGCATCAGTTTGGCTCAGCCCTGCGTGTGGGGTGGCCTAGAGGGCCAAGGGGCCTATACGCCATGGATCAGCAGATCGACACAGATTGACACATCCGTCTGCGGCAGCTGCCCCGCGGCAGACCGGGCGAGCCAGCCGTCGCCTCCGGCGCGAACAGTGCAAAACGCGCGGGCATGCGCTCGGAGAAGGACGGCTGCTTGGAAGCTTCGGATTTCAGGAGCCCTCTTGGGTTGCAAGGGGAGGGATTCTCCGGTGCCGTCTGAAACACGGGTGCCAGGAAAGCAGGAGCCTCCTCGCCTGAGCTTCAGGAGACAAGGCTGAGACACAAAGATTCCGCCGAACTCACAGGCTCGGCTGGCATGCGAGACCGAAGTCCACAGAGCTGTCAGCAGCCCGATCGTCCCCATCTGTGGCGCAACGAGGTGCCAGGGCCTGTTTCCAAGAGTCGGGGAGCTCTGTGGGGAGCTGAAGTCCCGCGGACCATGCTCATTGCCATGCCTCGCAAGCCCGCGGCCAGTGTGGGGCGAGGCCCTGCGATTCCCACTCAGTGACAACATGAGGCAGCATCTCCCGCCAACTCACAGTGTGGCACGCGTTGGAGTCGCACTGCAAGTCTGCCTCGATCCCATGGCCCAGCGGCATCAGCGGCGGCATCACCAGCGGCATCGGCACAGCCCCGCAGCCGAGCAGAAACAAGTAGTCACGTCGAGCCTGAGAGAAGAGGATGTGGGGATGTGGGGATGTGGGGATGTGGAGCCGGCTGATACGTCTTTCTGGCGTGGCCGTGGGCCGTGGCGGCCAGTGGGCGCAAGCTTGCGACGTCTGCGCTGGAGTGCAGCAAAGTCGCCAAAGGTCTCCCCTCGAAAGTACCCGCACAAAACCCTGCATCCAAGCAAAGCCCGATGGTTGGATATAAGGAGCTCACGCCTGAGCTGCTGCATCACAAAGGCAAGACCAGAATCCGTGTGGACAAGCCTGGCCCTCTATTCGACCCAACCTTGAAGCACTCTGACAAGCGGAAGAAGCGACAAGAGCAGCTGGGATTCCACACAGCCAGGGGCGTCGAGCGCCAGTCTTGGGTCGCAGAAGAGGCTGGGGCGGCGGAGAGCCGGGTGACCCAAACCGGCTTTGCAGAAATTGAGTGTCCAGAGTATCCGAAGTATCCGAACCATCGACAGAGATCAACCAAGCTATCGCCGGTGCTGTAGCTGATCCCATTGTCGCACGCTCACTTGGCAGCCGCTGGAAGCATGTGCCTCTTATTTTGAAGCGCCTGCAGCTGCAAGTATATGTAGAGGGACTTCAGGTACTGTGAACTCAATGATCAAAGTCGCGAATGGCTGTACGGATAACCTCTTGGGCAGATCCCACAGCCTTGACACCTACATCTGAGGCCGGCGCGAGATCAGAATGGCAACTAGAAAGAAACCAATCAGAGCAAGGAGGCTCTCACGTGCAATACGAGGCACATGTGAGGGATGCCGAGCAGGCAGCAGAGTTGCAACTGCAAGCCTCTTGACAGGTACCAAAAAGGAAGGCGGCACCTGCAGTCCCAGAATCAGGGAGGCAAAGGGCCGGAACTGCCTGGTGGTGAGGGAGGGCGCAGGAGCATAAACCCGAGGCGACTTTGGCGCAGGGCTTAGGCTGTTCGGGTTCCTTTCATGGCCTTTTGCGAGGGACTACTCGCGTGGGTCGCATGATGCCGCGTGCAAGTGCGGGCCTGGTGGGCCTGAACTCGCTGAGCGGAAAGCTCGTCCTTACACCCCAGATGCTGCGAGCCCCGTGGCAGGCTCGGCGCAAGCCAAGCCTCTCTTTCAGTCGGACCATGTCGGCAGAACAAGCCAAGCCTCTACGCGGGGGGAAGGCGGAGGGGAGCGCCTTTGGGCCGCCTTTGACAGAGAGCGGCGTTGCAAGGCCTTCCCAAGCCAGCGCGCACGCCCGCAAGGCGATGGCAAGCTGCCCCAACCGCGCAATGCTGTGACAAATGCTGTGCCATCGCCGCACGCGTCCCGGAACAGCGGGAGCAAATGCATGGTGGGGAACGTATGCATAGGACCTTTATCGCCGACATGTGTCTTTCAGCCAAGCAAAAGTACTGCAGGAACACGACCTACACGGCCGACACCTGCACGGCCTAGAGGGCCTGGTGTACAGCTCGTACAGCCTGCGACCGAATTCGGAACGAGCCAAGTGACCAAGGCAATGGTGCTTGCACGGCGACAGCCAAAAATATCCTGTGATTGCACCCGGCGGCCTGTCAAAAGCCAAGACAGGTGCTAACTTTGCTTTTGATGTGCGTGTGCGCCTCGATCAGAGGCATTGTCGGGTCGAGGGGGGGCATGCGGGGGCAGGAGGCAGGAGGCGAGGCTTTGGCTTACGTCGGCTGCTCAAGAGCTTCGGCACAAATCCGACAGTCGACAGTGACAGAGTCTGACAGTCCTTGTCTGACACGAGCTCACCATCACATCCTGCGGGGTCCAGTCCAGTGCACGGAGAGGCTACGAAGGCCGGTCAAGAAAAGTCACAGAAGAACGGCCCCTGTGCCGAGCATGGCGAACGCGAGAAACACAAAAGGCACGGAGGACGGCCTCGTCGTCAAGCACCCGCCGCTTCACTTCAGGGATTGAAGGAGGCTCGCGGTGCCCTTTCCATCCCTGGCAGCTCACACACTGCTCAGACAGCTCACACATGCTCACACGCCGTGCCGGCCCGCCCCGCACCCAAGCCGAACACTCCGCTTGGCGAAACGCTGCGGGAACAGTCCGGAATAGTCCGGACATGTCCAGACGCGTCCGATGCCACGTGTCAAGGGCAGCCAAGCGACAAAGCATGAAGGCACAGAGGCACAGCGCCAGCGTGGAAGGCTCGGCCGGGCCGAAGCATCGGAAGCACACAGCTGGCCCCATGTCGCTCGCATGTGCTGTTGCGCTCAGTGACTCAGTGCTTGCACTCGGTGCTTTCTATGGATTCGATGGTGCACCAGATTCAAGGACCAACACGCAACAGAGCAGTGTGGGCCTTCCTTGGCCCGAAAGGGACCATATCAGAGAGTTTCCGGGTTCTGTCACTTCTGAAGATTCTGTCCCCATCATGTAGCAACAGACGTGCGCATGGTGCTGGGAATGCTCCAAGGACCCGCGAGCAAGAGGTC